TATTATCGAACGCCCTATATTATCGAACGCCCTATATTATCGAACGCCCTATATTATCGAACGCCCCATATCATCGAACGCCCCAAAAATGCCAAGCCCCTACCAAAAAGCCGCTATCTTAATTAGATTGCTCTAACTCTAAGCTACTTAAGATAAATCTAGATAAGCTATCTAACTTATCTATATTATCTTTAACTACCTAGCACGTTTATACGTTATACTCTAGCTTACTATAGCGTCTATAGTATTACTAAGCTAGCTAGCTATTACGTGCTACTACCTCTTTACGCTACTTCTTACTCTTATTCTAATCTATAGTCTTTCTTTAAGTAACTAGCTATAAGCTAGCTTTAATTATAAGAGTATTCTCTTTCTAAATCTACTTTCTTTTATATAAATTATACTTCTTTTTCTATATATTAGCTACTTAAAGCTAGATAACTTTAGACTCTATAAGTACTAGCTAATACGCTATTAGCTTATTATCTTTCTTAAGCTAATTAAGTAACTTAATAATATAAATTAGTAATAAATTAAGATACTATATAATCTTTAATTAAATTAGAGTTAATTAGAATCTTACTTTAATAAAATTACTAGGTATTTTATACTTCTAGATAGTAGTATTATTAGTAAAGAGTATTAGTATATATAATTAAACTTTAAGCTTTAATACTACTAAATCTAGGTTAAATAGAACTAAGCTAGTATCTTTAAACTCTACTTTAATATTATTATCTATAATTAATACTTAAAAAGCTATATAAAACATAAGTAGAAACTTAATTTTTATAATATAGTTAATATAGCTTTATATTAGAATTTTAACTTAGTAGCTATATACTACTTTTAATAGTAAGAAGTAGCTAATATTAAGTAGCTATAAGAAGTATAATAAATATACTAGTATATAAAAAGCTATAATTTTATTCTTTTTATAGTACTACTAGAATTTAATAGAGCTATAGCTTTTATAGCTATCTAAAATTAGTAGATAATATATACCTATAATATAACTCTTAGTATACGTATTAAAGTACTTTAACTATATAATACTAACTTTATTTATTATCTAGCTACTTTTAGAAATAGCTATAATCTAGTTATATAGTAGCTAGCTACTTTTATACTATACTAAGAAATAGTTCTTACTTATAATAATAAAAAATAGTAGAATCTATAGATTATCTACTACTCTTACTATTATAATTACTAAAATCTACTTATAATTAACGTACTTTATTATTAAACGCTCTATAATTTCTTAGCAACGAAAATTAACGAAAATTAACCTGTTTTTCTTAAATAACTAAGCGGAACCTTAGTATTCTTCTATAAAATTTTAAATATAGGTTAAACTATACTATATATATCTACTATATAAATTATACGAAGATATATTACGTAATTAAAAAGCTATACGTATTTAACTAACTTTTAAGATAAATCTAGTTTACTTCTAGTTAGTACTATTATATCTCTATAATAATATATAAAACTTATAGTATATAGTATCTATAACTTAATAAAGGTTTCTAGAAAACTTCTATAGCGCTAGCTCTTCTAAGTATAGCGTAATAAGAGATAGAAGTTAGAAAAATTTCTTCTTAGAGCTTTCTTCTCTAACTATATATATATATAGTTAATCTAGCTCTATAAACTTATTATTTTATATATTATAGTTAGTTTTAACTATATAGAGCTTATTAACCAATAATATAGTAGCTTTAAGTAGTTATTTAGAAGTAGAGCCTTTTTATAGTATAGTATAAAAAGAGAGAAATATACTAAAACTATTCTAAAGTTATTACTTCTAAATAGATAGAAAGCTTATAATATATATAGGCTTATAATATATAACTTTATATAGCTAGATTATTAATATATATATAGTTAGAGAAGAAAACTCTAAGAAGATATTTTCTAACTTCTATCTCTTATTACACTATATCTAGATAAGCTAGCTCTATAGAGATTTTCTAGAACTCTTTATTAGGTTATAAATACTATATACTATAAGTTTTATATATTATTATAGAGATATAATACTACTAACTAGAAGTAAACTAGATTTTTTCTTAAAAGTTAAATATGTATAGCTTTTTAATTATATAATATATCTTAGTATAACTATACTAACGTACTTTATAAACGAACGCTCTATACAAACAAACGCTCTAAAAATGCTAAGCCTAAGAATTAACGAGTCTTTCTTAAATAACTAAGCAAAACCTTAATATATTTCTATAAAAATTTAAATATATATTAATCTATACTATATACACCTACTATTAAATTTATACTATATATTTTCTATTACGTAAGCTTAAAATAAGTGTTTTCTAAAAGTAGCTATTCTTAGAGTTTAAACCTTATAAGAACTAGTAAACTAATATAATAATCTATAAAACTTTAAATATATATTATATAGTATAGTATAAAGCCTTTTATAAGGTTTAGTAGCGTCTAGCTTAGTAATATCTATCTATTTCTAGAAGAAA